GGGTGGGCCCTACCTCCAGGGCCCTAGGGCTGCGGGCGATGCCTCGTGCTCTCACGCGGGCCCGACCACTCATGTTCCCGAGGAATTCAGAGCTGCTTCAAGAGCGATGAATTCTTACTTAGGGAGTCAATTTGGCGTCGTGCTGGGTCACCTGCTTCTCGATTTCAGTGCGTAGGCGGAGAGGGCACGCTTAGCGTTCTGGGTTCTCAAGTCGCGCAACGCGCAACGACCTGGTACCACATGGGCCCGGCGCTGTTCCCACTGTGCTTGCCAGTGGTTGGTCCTGAGAGCAGACCGGAACTAGTCTTGCCTGGCTTGCCATAAGCTTCCACTCCGCCACTACCGGGTACCACCCAGCGCAACGCTTCCTTTGCTTTCTGTGCCCAGCCCCTTCCTGGCTTCCTACAGCCTGTACAAAGGGCAGGCTATGGACTGGGAGCAGCTGCTTCCTTCGCAGCACCTTTTGGCAAAGGGCGCCCTCAACTCCCCAGTGTCCGCCGGGCACAGAATCATATAGGTTGATTCCTTCCTAATACGAAGGGTTCCTGGCACTCTCCAGGAACTACCCAGATCCAGAAAAACAAAGTTTATGTGCTAATCTAAGAGTTGTACATTGAATGTCCGTGGGGATGGGGGTGGGAGTGGGCACTAATTTTTGTTCTTCTTAAATTTCTCCTACAAAGAGCAATTTAATTTTCAAAAGAGGGTGTCTGCTATGAACAGACAGAACAAAAGTAGAAATAAGCTCATAGAATGTGGGACCCAGGCAAAACACATTGGGGGCACCAAGTTCCCAGCCAAACTTACCTTGCTGAAACCTTAAAATTAAGGTCAAAACTCACTGTGAACAGAGAGAAAGATAATGACTTAATGTCTTAGTTATCTAGTGCTGCTATAACAGAAATACCACAAGTGGATTATTTCAACCAACAGATATTTATCCTCTCACAGTTCAAAAGCCTAGAAGTCCTAAGTTAGGGCCCCAGCTCCAGGCGAAGGCTTTCTTTCTCTGTTGGCTCTGTGTTATGGTCCTTGTCTCCTTTCAACCTTGGGGAGCTTGGTGTTCCTTGGAACCCTTGTGTCTTGGCATCAGTCTTCTCCTGGCTCTTAAAACAATTTTACCCATCATATCATCCCAAAAGTCTTAGATAACTCTAAGTCCAAATTCCATTCTGGAGCAAAATTCCTCTTCACCTGTGAATATAGACTAAAAGTTATTTGCTTCCAAAGTACAATGGTGGAACGAGCACAAAGTAGATATTTCCATTACAAGTGGGAGAGAAAGAATAACAGGCACCACCACCAACAGCAACAACAACAACAAAAAACCAGCAGAACAATTTCCGTTAGCTCTTGTCTTGAAAATAATCCTTTGTTCTTTCAGATGCTCTGGCTAATGCCCCTGCTCTCCAGACTCTGGGTATTACTACCAGGCTCTCTGGATTCTGGATGGAGGCCCCTTGGCCTTGGACTGTAGCTCTGCCTCCAGACTTGCTGGGATAGCAGCAACTCTGATCCCTCAGCTTTCTTCTAGTCCATCTGAGTGGTGATACTACCTCCTCAGTCCCTGCAAGCCCTGTTCTTTTGCCCCTTGGCATGGCAGCCCTGTTTCCTCTGCTTTGGGGGTGGATCCAGCCCCATGCCCCTAGCACTCATGAATTGTGTCCTCACATTCCAGAACTGAGTTGGTGAAGATCTGACTCTTTGAAACCTAGGAAGCTATGCCCCTACCATCTGAAACCCCAGAAGTGATAGCCCACCCTTTGAGACTCCAGAGGTCATGGCCTTACCCTTTAAGACCAGAGTCAGCTCTGCTTCCCACACTCCTTCTCTCTTCATCTTCTGCTTTCTGGTTCCATGGCCTCTCAGCTCCTTGATGCCTTGGACCTCTTGGGCTGACTCATTCTCTGCCTTGCTCAGGTAACTGTTACAGTGCTCTTTAGTTCTATCAGTAAGTTCCCAGAGGCACCACAATCTGCCAGTAAGGCTTAGCCCAAAGGCATTCAACTCTCTAGTTCTTTAGGTTGGCAAGTCTAGCTCCATTGACAAGTATCCAGAGATACCCCACTCTGTCAGGAAGCTTCCTGTCCAAATGTACTCAAGTCTCTTGCTTGGTGGATCAGCTCCTGGGCTATCTTGCTCCCATCTCTTGGTTCTGCTGCCACTGTTTCTCTGCTACTGCTTCTTGGCATCTATACCATGTCCAGTGTTACAGTGAAGAGGGCTCTCTTCACTTCCTTGTGCGCCCTCACCAGAATTGCCTTTCACATCCCTAATTCCACTGTGACTTCAAGGCAATCTAGCCTTTTACTATTGTTGTTGTTGTTGTTTGCCATAGAGTCGGCCCTGACTCATAGCGACCCCTCCTTGGGTTTCCGAGGCAGTATCACTACGGAAGTAGGATTGCCCAACCTTCCTTCCGAGGAGTGGCTGGAGAGTTTGAACCACCAGCCTTCTGGTGAGCAGTCAAGTGCCTTAGGCACTATGCTACCAGAGCTCCTACTATTAAGCACCTTAAAACTCTTCCAGTCACTACCCATTACCTAATTCTGAAAGCACTTCCACATTGTAGGTATCTGTTGAGCAGAACCCCTCCCCCCCAGGACCAAATTCTGTCTCAGTTATTTAGTGCTGCGGTAACAGAAATACCACAAGTGGGCTTTCACAAACAGACATTTACTTTCTCAGTTTAGAAGGCTAGAAGTCCAAATTCAGAGCAACATTTCTTGGGGGAGGCTTTTTCTCTCTGTTGGCTCTAGGGAAATGTCTTTGTCTCCTTTCAACATCTATGATCCTGGTGTTCCTTGGAGATCTCCGTATGTCTTGGCATCAATATGCTCCTGGGTCTAGGAGATTTTCAGCACAGGGACCCTGGGTCCAAAGGATATGCTCCACTCCTGGCTCTTCTTTATTGGTCTTCTTTCTCATTTCTCTCTCCTTTTATCTCTTGTAAGATAGATGATGATGCAAGCTACTCCCCAAGGAAATTCCCTGTTATGGATTGGATTGTGTCCCCAAAAAATATGTGTTAATTTGGCTAAGCCATGATTCTTTGTATTATGCACTATTTTGTGATCTGATGCAATTATCCTATGTGTTATAAATCCTAATCTTGATGATGTTAATGAGGCAAGATTAGAGGCAGTTATGTAATTGAGGCAGGATACAATAAATTGGATTGAGTTATATCATGAGAAAATCTTTTTTGAGATATGTAAGAGGTTAAACAAACAAGCAGAGATGAGAGGGACCTACTATCACCACGAAAGAAGAGTCAAGAGCAGAGTATGGCCTTTGGACCTAGGGTCCCTGCACCAGGAATCTACTAGACTCAGGGGAAGATTGATGCCAAGACACAGGGAGATCTCCAAGTGATGCCAAGCCCACAGATGTTGAAAGGAAACAAAGACCGTACCTCAGAGCCAACAGAGAGAGAAAACCCTTCCCCTAGAGCTGGTACCCTAAATTTGGACTTTTAGCCTCCTAAACTGGGAGAGAAAAAATTTCTGTTTATTAAAGCTATCCACTTGTGGTTTTTCTGTTTTGGTAGCATTAGACACACCCCTTACATCAGATCAGGGCTATGGCCTGAGTAAGGGTGTTGCATCCTACTCTAATCCCCTACACCTCATTGGTTGATCATATTATGGGTGATGATCACCTCACTGCATAGCTCCCAATTTACATCATTACACAGCTGCCAAACCACCGTGCCAAGTGGAAACATATTTTTGGAGGGCACGATTTAATCCATGACAGGTACCAATTATTGA